ACTTTTACAAGAATAAAAACTTCATTTACAAAGAGAAACCATGCACAGTAATTATTTCAAGTTAGATATAGTTATACTCAAGTTGTTTGTAAATGATTTACTTTCTAATAATTTATTAAATTCATTATTTTCAAATTTATATATATATACATTCGGAACAAGTTAAACGTATATACAGACATTCCTTACACTATGGAGATCATAGTTATATCAAACACTACATAGTTTTCTTCTTGTCAAAAGTCCACTTAGGCCTATTAAATTGCTTCAGCATTCAGTTGACAAGCCAAACTATTTTTCTCTATTTCTATCGCCAAACTATCTGTGTATAGTTCAATTACGTTGTCATTTAGTCACCATGGTTGTATCCTATACTTAAAAAATCATCTGCTCCTTTTTCATATTTCCAAGAATCATCTGCCTTTTTCAAAGTCCTCTGAGGCTGGTTCAATTACTTAAGAACACCCTTTGACGAGACAACTTATCTTCCTTTATCTCTTTGGAATTGTTAATCTCAATCTATCATATCAACCATTAGGTCTTTCACTTCTATGACAATTAACTTTGTGTTCAACTTTCCTCTGATCGAACTTCTCCTTCCCTTGACTATAACTTACTCTCTTCTGCTCTTTTTTACATCTGCTTGCCACAATCACTTAGGCCTTATAGAAATCTCTATATCCTCAACATCAATGGATTGCATGCAACATTCAATAGCCTTGACATTAATTAATTAAAAACATAACTTATGACTCTTACTGAGTTACGTAACCAAATTTGTCGTAAGTATCACCTTTAAAATAATTGCTTTTAATTCTCTAAACTAAACAATCATAAAATATTCACTTACAAATACAGTAAATAATTTTACTTAATTAATAATGCATCTAAGAAAACAAAACACCTATTAAGAGCAGACAATATCCTATAAATATCATCATTTGTCTGGCTTTCTATTGGGTATAAATAATATAGTATTAAACATCTTGACAATTTCTGAAAGAGAAGATGTAAAAGGTGCACATGGAAAGATGAAGATTGAAGGCTACAAAAATTACACTTTGCCTGAGTAAAAAATATATTACAATGAGTTATTTACAATAAATTACATACTTCTCTGAGAGGCAGTAAAGAAATTAGAAACCTACACAGCAAATATCACAATTCTCATATTAGGGGAGATTGAGTTTTTTTTTAAATATTTTCTTATATAATTAAGAACTTAAAACTTATATAATATTAAAATTTGATTTATAAGCTAAGTTTGATGCCAAGGTTACTTGTAAACCATGATAATAAATTAGTTTAATTAAATTTTGAATGTAACTCAGTAAAACCTTGTGATATGTGCAGAAAATGGTACTCATATGGAAAGAGTTAAATAATCAGGTGATCTAGTTCATATGAAATGAATTAATCAAAACACAGTCTATTGTAACTCAAAAACAAAGGAATCTTTTGTTTCAAATTTAACTAATTATAACAAGGAACTTACTTTTAAGACAACTCCTTTCACCAACTCATACCCATCTAGTCCTTCATAGGGATACACAGAAAGTGAATTCAATAGCAGTGGTTTGAATGTCTTGTTTCTAAATGGCTTGGTTGGATTAACTATGAAAACAAACAAATATTAAGATATTAAAAAACTTAAGTTTAGGTAAAAAAGAATATCTTCAGTAATCAAAATGAATACAACTTTCTTTTAATATATACACTGTACAAATGGAACAACAAAAAGACAAACAAGATAAAGCAAATGTACTATACTTTTACTGGTAAAGATACCAGCACATACATTGTTGTCATACTATTATTGTGTTAGCACATACATGGTTGTCTTACATTCAATATATTGTTGTAACATTTTCTATCATTGAATGAGTTCTTTTGGATTATTTGGTAAAAAAATACCAAGTACATTCACGTAACAATAAAGAATTACTTTATTTCTCATACAACATTTCTACAGGCCACATTCACTTTGACACAAGATGTATGCCTAGGTTCACAAACAACATTGCAACTGGAAACCCAGGACTAATGGAATCTATATCTAACTTACAAATAACTTACTTATGGAATTTCTTTGCCAGCCAATATATTAAATAAATAGATGTGACAGCTCTCACTTCTAATACTGAATTACTTTTCTGACACTGAACAGAATCACTCACTCATTATTCAGTAACTTTTCATTTGTGAACTTTCTCGATACTTCAGCAACTTCATGATTTGGCAGCTCCCTCTAGTAAACAACTAAATTATAACATTGAAAATACAGCTTACAACAGTATATACTGACACATTTGATTATCTGCTGATAATATGATAACAAAGAACATTTATTGTTTTCTTACTGGTGATATGTATTGTGGCACATCAATGTTGTCATAATCGTTATGTGTACTGCTCCATACATTGTTATCCTACTGGTCAGCAATTTAGACTAGCTATTATTTGCTACTTGTCATAACTTAAACCTAAAACAACAACAGGATAAGGTTTACCTTATAGTTCCATTTACTGACAGAAGTATAGAACTAATTAAATTAGAATTGGTAATGAGACTTTTATATTACACTTGTCATCTAAAAATTGCAAATTTAAATACACAACTATTAGCTGTTTTTGAAGGAGGGCCAATGGCAGTAACATCTTTAATTATAATAAAGTGTTAAATAATACAACCAAAGAATTACAGTACATTTTATCGTGTTGTTATAAGCTATATTTTTAATGTTGTAATTTGGTTTTAGCTTATGGGAGCTGCAAGTCATAATGATGGCATTAAATTAGGCCTAAAAAGTTTTGAAGACTTGACATAAAATTTTTCTAGCACATTTGAAAGCAGATTATAAATACAAGATAGAGTTGTTTCAGGCCAATAAGGTGAATCAATCAGTGTGTTTCTAGTGAAGTATTTGGCTCAGTGTTAGATACTGTGCATACTTAGTTACTTTGTACAAGTAAGTTTATTCTTTAGATTAGTGTAGTGCAGATAGCATCATTTGTAAATGTAGTATAAAAGTTACTCCACAGAGTTCAAGCATGTAAAAGCATTAAAGGAAGAAATAAACTATTATCATTTACTTGGACTGGACTTGAGGTATTTTTACCAGATAATTTGAAAGAGCTTACCAACAGAAGAACAATGTTGCAACACTATAAATTCAAATGTAATTCATTCCCATATACATATTCATCCATTGACCACGTGCTCACCAGTAACCCTTAAATTGTGACCAACAAAGATTTACAATTGCTAAAAAGTAAAGACACAAAAATCATGAGAATGTCTTCTTTCATTATTTCTGGAGGCAATTTCTCACCTTTCATTACAAAATCAGGACCAACTATTGTAGTTGTAGAGCCAGTGTTGCATGTTGATCAGCATACTGCAAGACACCCCATCAATAAACCTGTGGACCTATGGACTGGTTTATTCAAATAATAAACTTACTTCATTTGAGGCAGGTGGAATATTTTCAGCTGAACTTTACTTCATAAGTCTAACTAATACCTGTTTCCTGATTTATGGTTACACTTTGGGGCAGGGCCAGTGCAACTGAGGGTGTAGCATGTGCATTTGTACAGGTAGCAGGTTGTTGGGGGCACAATTATGCAAAATTCTTATGATGGTGGAAGATCAAGGATAGGGGTGGGCAGTACAGTCATTGTTTACATAGGGTGGCAAAATTTCAATAAATATACATATAACATATTTAAGGAAATTCACTATTAACCACAATGAAGATGTTAACAGTAAGAAACAGGTTTTTGAGCATCTAGATTATTTATATAGCAGATTTGTCATCACTCCTGCATATAAAGCGGCTAACAGCTTTGATTTCATTTGCAAAGTTTTTCATTATAATTTTATGTAAAAAACTAGGGTTTAATTTCAACAAGATTAGTAAAAATTGTTCATTTAAAAAGGGATAATACGGACGGCCAAAAAATATAGAAACAAGATGAATTAAAAGGCAAAAATTATGTTTTCAAGCTTACAACTAGGGACTCTAAAAAACGTAAACAAACAAGGCTGGAAATAGTGTCTACATTACTTTCTCAAGCTAGAAATCTCTATTTTGACTCCACTAAAATTGATAATTATTGTAGATATTGAATGCCTAGCTATATGCAAGATGTTGCAGTCAAACAGGAATTTGATACAAGACAGATCATGATAAATATTCATACTGATAGTACACGGAGTGGTCACAAGTAAATAGACACCTAAGTTTTCGTCATTTAACTGATTTATGCTAACTAATTTGTGTTCACAGAGCACTATATAAATGAAAATGGTCCGCACACTAATTATCTTGTGCTACAACATGCCTAGAACTCAAGGTTCTCTCGAATTGTCAGGAAACACGGCAAGGAAACAACTGAGCAGCGTCCGGGTCGTCCTGGTCCATCAGAGAGGACAAAAAGGGCCGTCAAGAGGAGCATTGAAAACGAT